CTATCGGCCCACCGGGACAAGTCCCGGTATCCCGATAGGCTAATCCACCCCTGACAGGAAGGTATGAAAGTATGTTACCAATGTGAGTAATAATATTGTTTTCTAAGTTAACAGTGACTTTACACCACTAAGTGTACATCTTACTAGTGTGAGAAAATGCTAATTTTAACATCTGTTTGTCAGATTAGACAAAATACAGAGAATAATGGCTTCAGGCAAAAAAGACACACTTGGTTTGTGGCACACTCATAAAAAATCTAGTAATTACCAACATGGCCACAACTGGCCTTTCACCAGATTCATGGTAAAAAACAACAATTATAGGGTAGTGCAGCAAATACAACAAATGTCTAAAACATAGGGCAGATAAAAGGCATTGTTCAAAGACACAGAATGAGAAGAACTTAACATGCATACAAAAGTTCATGTAATTAATAATATTTGAATATCTTCCTCAGTTTTCACAAGGTATCTAACTCTTCTTTCTATTCTCATGAGCAAAATAGAAAAATGTTGACAAGATGCTGATAAAGAAGTTCATTTTCCTAAACTGAAAGTGTATTTTTAATAACACTTACCCTCGCTGACACTATAGCTATTTCTCGACCTCCATGGTTTCCACTCTTTGCCCATCTAAGTATTGAAAACACTTGCTCCAGTCTTTTATACCCCACTCGACTGCCCTTGGCAAATTCTAATTTGCAAATTTCTCCACCAACTTCAATGCGCCCTCTATCTAGGTACTGTATATAAGCACCTCATTCAAATAATGTTATCACTTTTTCTTGACAAAGCAATCAGCATGGGTTTCTATAAATAGAAGTGTTGTGACTATTCACAATTTACATTGCAACTTTAAATGTGGTTTGCATTACTAAGGTTATATCTTTGTTTATATTTATAATTACAATAATAATAACAAATTAAAATTAAAATAAAAACCACGTATCGGTGGGTATGAATTCCGGAGTTAATGTTTCTTTTTCGGAGGCCATTCAGACCTCTCATCTTTCACCTCTGTTGTCTGAAATTTGTCGACAACCAGAGGAGGGGTCACTCTCAGTCGAGGCTGTCTGTGATATGATCCATTTTGAGATGGACACATATATGCAGAATGATGGTATCTCTTCGAGGGGTTCTGAGGAGGGTTTTGCAAATGACCCAGACCAGCTGGGGAGAATTTTGACTCAATTTTTTTTACTCCTTTTGCTGAGTTGACCTCAACAGAGGATCATTTTGACCAGCCACCTCTAGCTCCCTTTTTTCAGTTGATCACTTGGGTTTGTGAGGTTTTGGGGGTCTGTCCTATTACATTTGACTCTACCCCTTTCTTATTGGCTGCAAGGATGGAAAGTGACTACTTGGTTTTCCTCCTTCTCCTGATATTGCTGTTCAAGATGGGAGATTTGCTGCTCAGCTACACAACTAGATAGCTATAACTGGCCCCTCTTGTTTATCAGAACAGCATGCTTTGATTTATCACTGCCAGGAGGAGGTAAGTTTAGATTCTCAATGAACGGACCCCCCTTTTGGACTTGTGGGGGTCTCTATTGGAACCTGTCATCACTTTAAACATTTCACAATTTTCTCGGATTCATCTAACTATCATGACTGTCCTGAAGTATTTATCTTCAATCCAAATTTTGTTGGAAGCCTATCAATGTTCCCCTCAGCAATTTGAGGATGAGTTGGGGATTTTGCTGACATCTATCTTAGCTAGATTGTCTTCTTCAGTTCTTTCTCTGGTTTCCTGGCTGGTTTGTTGTTGATATTTAATGACTAGAGATTCTTTGTTAAAAAGTGTTCATTTACCATCTTTTGGGGAGTTACGGAAAGCTTCTTTTCTCTGTCCCAGGTTGTTTGCTGGAGTTCCAGAGATATTAGAATCAAGATTTGATTCAGTTTGTTTACATTCTTCCTTATAGTCTTTGACATTTGCCTTTGTGATGTCTTTGGGAGTGTCGGCTTTTGTTCTTCCCTCCTTCAGTTCCTAGGTCTATTGGTTCCCATAATAGAGTCCGTCCCTGTTCTCAAGAAGTTTTGGCTCGGACGGACCATCAACAACAGTGTTGGTGTCTATCCCATGGGCAGGGGAACAGTGGGAGCATGTTTACATCAGTTTCTGGTTATATGGAGTTCTTTCACCAGGGAACCATGGGTATTCCATGCTCTGAATTCAGGGTTGGTCATTCAAAAGTCTGGAGCAAGCATTTTCAATGCTTAGATGGGCAAGGAGTGGAAACCCTGAAGATCAAGAAATAGCTGTAGTGTCTGCAGAGGTTAGTATGTTTTAGAAGCATATATGTACATTTGGATAACCTAAAATACATACATGGGCAGGACTGACATGCCTGTATGGGAAATGCGTTATGCTCCCAATATTCATAAGTCTTGTTGTCACACCTTCGACCAATATGAAAAACATATCAGAGTTATGGTGAAACAACAACAATGGTAGATGGTGACATTACCAAATGATCCACCATGAAATAGACAACAGCAGGACCCCTGTCCTAATTAATTGGATCCGAGATGTAGAAAGAGATGAGGCCATGCTATATTATTTTTGTTGTTTGAAAATACTCTGTAGTAAAACAATGTCAGGCAATTCACTAAAGATTGATAACGGCCTGAAGACGACATGGCCTAAATTACAGATATACAAATATGATGTGCTATAACTCTCATGGCTAACACTTTCACTACTGGCTCAGTCTAACTGGCCAAGTTCATGACCCCAAATTGACCTTTATGGTTTCCATACTATAACTTATATGTTTTGTGTATCTTCACAAAATTTTGTAAGTTTTTAGTAATCATTAAGTCTTTTGCAGACAAAAAATCAGAATTTTTAATGAAGATTTTTGCTAAAAACTTCTCCATGAATATATGGAGTCAAAGGGTTGACTATTCTGAGTGTAAAGTGATTTTCATGTTAAGATTAAGAAAATACTTTTCTTCATTTGAAGAACCTCAAATTTTATTTGCATAGTTTCTAAACCCCCTAAATATATTTTTTCAGTAAAACTTTATATTTCAATTTCTT